TATCGCCACATATTGATGCGTTGCCTCCTCGTCTTAAAGGACCTGACGCCAAAACTCTAAATATAACCCCGCCAGCAAGCACACCATCGCCAATTTCACATATTAATCTTAAAAAGGATTTACCGGTACACGCTTCCTTTAATCGCTCTAACAGAACTGAACGTGCTTCACCAAAACTCTTGTCAAATATAAAACCACGCGAAATGAATGTACATCAAATTAGAGCAAAACCATCTCCCGAAATAAACCAAAACATAAGCGTACCTCCGCCGCAACCAGTGTCAGTTATTAACACAACAGCATCACATCCACATGTAGGCAAACTTTCAGGTACATTCCAACCAGTTCCAGCTCCACAGTCACCACCAGTTTATAGACATCCATTTATACAACCTATACGTTTTATGCCTATGCGAATTAATAACAACTTTATGCGTATGCCACCGATACGCAGTCCACATCCATCTCCACATTTAGTAACGCCACCAATGCATGATGGCGCTATACCAATAAGGCCTCATAACTTTAACTTACCACAACCTGTTGTGGGGCCACCTAAACCGGGCGTACCACCACCACATGTGCTGCCTCATCCACCCAATGAACAGTATTTTCCACAACATAATTATTACAACACCCCGCCTCAACATTATCGTGGCCCACCACCAAACTACTACAGGCAAGCACCAGCGCTGCCACCGCCACCTTCGCCTCGACATCCCAGTATAGGCGGCAATAAGGAAGGCGGTAACATTATACCAACATTAGGACACTAGACACTAAACACAAAAAGCACCGAAGCAAGACAAAGGAAAAAAATGAAAACATTTCATCCAACTCTGACTTTTTTGTTTTGAAACCAAATATTTCAGTGGTCACAAATACTCAGAATGAATTTTTGTAAATATGACACGGCTGCTTTGAACAAACTGACACATTTGCTATTTTGGCGTAGTGTGCTAATATTTATAGTCACCAAAAACATTTTTTTATTATTTCACACAACAATAAGATTAGATATTCATTCAGCATCAGAGTGCAACAGTCGATTGCATCGATTACCGAAAAATCGGTAAGAATATAAAATTATTCTCTATAACTTTTTAATTATAATTAATTATAATTAAAAAGTTATAATTACTATTTTTGCTGAAGATAATTGTCCGGATTACCTGGTCTCGACCAAGTCGTTGAAAGAACGTGTGTGAAATCTGTATATAAGGTTTATATTAAAATTTTTTTTATTATTATTTTAAATTTAATTTTATGTTTTGACAAAGTTAATGTGTAAGAAGTTAGTTACAGTTATAGTTAAGTATATTTAGATCATATAAGAACTGTAGAAACGCCTTTTATGAAATAAAACTTATTTCAATAATACAATTATTATTTAAAATAAAAATGTATGTTTAAACATAGTTAAAATTAAAAATAAAATAGACAAAATGCAATATTTAAGTGTTTTTATATAAATATAAAATTTTGGAAATTTCTTAACTCAAAGTGGATGCGAACTTTAACCAAAGCCGTCAAATATCCATAAGCTTGCATTCTATCATTCTTAGGATTAAATACATTGTAATTCTTCTGCTTTACTAAAGCCATGTTAGTTTTATTACAGGAAAACTGGTTGTAAGCATAAATCCTTAGTTCCTCTGAAATATTATATGAAGATAGCAGATAGAATATATTATAGTAATTGCTATAAGAAGAAAACATTTTGTATATACTAAATTCTGTAAGTGATGCTTTGTTGGGTGCCTGATCACACAAGAATCAATGGTAATGAGTCTCCTGACAATCTTGCGAAATCAGGATCTGCCATTCAAATCTGTGGACCGGAGCCATATTGAGGATTAAGTTGGTCTACAACTAGGTCTCTGATTGATAAATGGTTTTCAGCCGAGAGAAGTCGCTACTGGCGCGACATTTAAGGTAACCGACAGGCTAAAGAGCTGGTTCATCCCTATAGTTATGATAAGGTATCCTTCTTCAGCAGAACAGAGTTGAGGTTGCTGGTGGGATATTGAACGGGTTTCCCTAACAAAAAGGCTCTGTCCGAAGAGATAGATTGTCGAGTCTGCTTAGAAGCAGACGATCCTGCCCAACCTTAATCTAGGCCAGGAGAAGGTCACTGGATCGAGAACT